TTTGTCTTTTTTCCGTGTCCGGCAACGGATCGCAACCCTCAGTGTCGCCCCCGCACCGGACCGGGACCGGCAACAGGATCGCAACCCTCGGCGTTGCCCCCGCGCCTCGCTCAGCCAGTGAGCGGGAACCGGTCTGCATGTGGTATCCGAACCCTCGGGCGGGAGCGCCGCCGCGCTTCCCAAGCGGCGCACTATCCAGTGTGCCACCGGGCCGGCCCAGATCCACGTTTATTGATATGGAAAGATGTTCATAAAATCTTGTTAAGAAAAAAGATTCTTTTTGAACTGTAGGAAGAACGTGATTGCAATTTTGTAAATACATGTAATATAAATTACTGTATGTTTGTGTGTTTCTTGTATGTGAAACAGTAAAAAGTCTGGATGAACATATATCAGTGTGTTAATGGAATATGGGATTAAGAGGTTATTGAAAGCTTTTTGTTTGTTTGTTTGCTTATCCCTACTGCCTAATATCACTTGGATGACCTGTAAGTTTTCCTTCAAGCTGTTATGGAAATACACAAAACAAGTGAGATCATGGCCGACCTTTTGTCAGTGGCAAAAGACCCCACTGTCAGGGACAGGTTGCACAGGATTTAAGAAGACATTGTGGCAGACACACTCTCAGGTGGCCCCCTGCTAGCAGACTCATTAGAGACTCTCCTTGCTGGCTTGATGAGGTAAATTGCTATGTTGAGAAAGCCCATGGTGCAAGGAACTGAGGACAACCTCTAGAAGCTGAGGGCAGTCTCCAGCTGACAGCCAGCAGACAGCCAGGGCTTTCCGTCCTGCAGCTGCAAGGAAATGGATTTAGGCAACAACCTGAGTGAGCTTGGAAGTGGATTCTTCCCCAGTTGAGCCTCCAGATGAGAACACAGGCTGCCTGGCCCCTTGATGGTGTACTCAGCTGAGCTATGCTTGGACTCTTGACCCACAGAAACAGTGATCTAGTAAATGTGTGTGTTTTAAAGCTGCTGCTGCTAAATTAGTGGTAATTTGTTTACAACAACAGAACCCGCCCCTCCCCCCAAAAAACCTCACCAAAAACCAAAAACTAAAAAGCAAACCAGACATCATCAGGGAAATGTGAGGGCCTGTGACATGGAGCCCTTAGGACAGAAGCTCAGGGCTTCTGGGAGTGGCTGCTTCTCTTCTGCCCCAAGGTAAGTGAGCTCAGAGCTCTTCAGAGTGGAGGGAGAACTGCCCAGGCTGAGGCACGGCTGGGGTCTCCCTAGAGAGGGGGACGCCCTCGCAGCCTCCAGAGCACCTGTGTCCTTTCTCACTTGCTCTGGGGCCTCCCTCGGCTTCTCAGCCTTCCCAGATGGTCCTGTTAGTGCAGTCTTCCTGTCTGTCTGTCAGTTGTCTTCCGTCTAAGTAGGGATGGGCCTACCACAGTGGTGTGAGGCGGAAGAGGTGGTGAACGGCAGGGGAGCGCAGCAGCTGCAACATGGGGGGATGGGCTTGGCCCATGGTCAGGTGCTTCTGCAGAATGGTCTGGAGCACCTGCCTGGGTAGACGGGGCTCAGCACCTGGGTGTTCTGGATTCTAGGGTGAAGGTGGGAGCTGGCAGAGCCCTGGTGGGGTGTCACAGAGGTCTTGGGGTTCTTACCTCCATACTCAGCTTGGTATCCTCTTCCTGTTTCCCATTCATCCGGGCCACTCTCTGCAGGGCCTTCAGGGTGAGGTCCAGCCTCCCACAGGGGGAGCACCAGAGGGCAGACTCAGTGAAGAACCTGTGGGTGGGGACAGGCATGACTTCAGCCTGGGCTGACAGAGTTGTGGCTGCTTGAGGAGGGCACAGACGAGCTGCAAGGCACCTTGGGGGATGGGAAGAATTCTGGGATGGGACTTAGGAGTCCTGGGTTCTAATCCAAGGATTGCCACTGTTTTCTTGAGAGACCTGGGACAAATCCTGCCTCTCTCTGTGCCGTGGATGGTTTCCCCCACCTATCGAACTGGACATTGGTTCTTTCTGTTTTGACCTGCTTTGTTACTAGTGGGGAGGCAGGGGGTGCTCCAGGAGATGCTCTGCCTACCCGTGACTTATTGTGACCCCTCTACCCACCCTCGGGTCATGTACCTGGAGTAGATGAAGAAGACAAAGAGGGGTGGAGAGATGAACAGCTGGAGATGGCGTCAGGAGGGCACAGCATAAGTCACATCAACCAGGAAGAAATGGCCTAGGCTAGGGCCAAATCCAACTAGGAGGCCCAGACCTGGCTGTGCATGGATGGGCACCCACTCCAGACCTGGGGAGAACAGAGCTCAGGTTGAAGCTAGGATGTGTGTGTGTGTGTGTGTGTGTGTGTGTGTGTGTGTGGCAGTAGCTACTTCCAGATGATGAGTATCCTGATATTGGAGCAGAAAGGCTCCTCTCTTAAGCTCAGTCCTGCTCTGCACCTCCAGGACCCTCAGAGGGCAAGGCAAGCGTGGATCATGGGCCATGTTCAGTGTGTGTGTGTTGCTTCTGTGGAGCAAAGAATGGGCTGGAAGGCTCTGAGTTCCCAGGCGTGCTCTGATTCAGGGCTCCTGTAGTCTTGTTTTACCTCATGAGCCTGTCCCTCCCTGGATACAACTGAAGACTCCTGGCTCTGGGATTGGACTGAACTAATCAGATTCTTTATATGAGGAATTTGGAAATATGGCCCAGAAAACAGGATTTGTAAGGACACTTAAAGTTGGGGTGGAATAGCCAAGTTTGGATGAATGTGAAAGTAGAGTTGAGAAAATGAGAGAGAGAGAGAGAGAAGAAAGAGGTGGAGCAGGAGGAGAGAGGAAAGGGGCCAGAGGAATGAAGTAACCTAGCCAGAGAGAAGTCAGGATGAGCTCAGTAAGTGCCAGAGAGGTAGAGATGGAGAGTCCAGCTGTCTGTTCGCTTCAGCTGCCTCGTAAAGCTGGGCTCAAGTACCTGATCTTGGTCTGGGTGAAATACTCTTACACGCTTCCACTAGCTTTCCATTTTCATACCAGCAAATTTGAGAGAGTTGTGGTTATTTGTGACCCTGAAATAAACAAAAGTTTATTTCAGACTTAGGTTCGCAGCAGAATTAAGGAAAGGTACAGAGATTTCCCGTATATTTCCTGCCCCCACATACACACAACCTCCTCCGCTATCAACATTCCTCATCAGAGTAGGACATTTGTTACAATTGAACCTACATTGACATATCATAATCACCAGAGTCCATGGTTACAGGACATCACATTCCTGATGTTGTACATTGTACAGGTTTGACAAATGTACAATGACATATATCCACCATCGTAGTATCATACAGGACAGTTTCACTGCCCTAAAAATCCTCTGTTCTCTGTTTATAAATCCCTCCCTCCCCCCTAACCTCTCGTGACCACGGATCCTTTTACTGTTTCCATAGTATTGCCTTCTCCAGAATGTCATATAGTTGGAATCATACAACACATAGCCTTTTCAGATTGTCTTCTTTCATTTGGTGATGTGCATTTAAATTTCCTCCACGTCTTTTCATGGCTTGATAGCTCAGTTCTTTTTATCACTGAATAATTTTGTTGTCCTTTTAAATCAAGATAAAAAAAATCTTGTTTTGAAAGTATTTTCACTCTAGGTGGAGTAAAACAGTTCTACAGCCTGTAGAAAATCATACTGCTGAAGGATGTGCCATTAAAATTAAGTCGAAATGACAAATAGGTGTGCCATTTCCTTTAAAAGGAAGAGCTCAGTTTTGTATGTTTTTGAGTGGATTTTTAAGCTGCCATTTCTTTTGTTAACAGAAAAAAGAAAAGGGGCTGGGATGACCAGGATGGTTAGGAAATTCCCCTAAGATGTGTTTGTATATATTCGAAGTGAATTCATCCTTCAAGCGTAGTTACTTGATAATCTTGATTTGGTCAGAGAGAAATCCTTATCTGTGAATTTAATTATTACTGTAGGACTTTTAGTACCTTGTGGATGCAAACATCGCATGATGTAAAATTTGGAATATTGGTATTTGAACATTTCTCCAAAGCTCCATGTCTTATTCTGTAATTCCACATGATGTCTGATGTAGCT